TTGCCCACTGCTTAGGACTTTGGTCACAAGATTATAACCTCCCTAATCACTGCTATGGAAAACACCTCTACTACAAAACCTAAGGCTGCCTTTTCTGCATTTGCAGACCCTGCATTCCTATGGGCCCCCAACGGCACTGGCTCTGTGAGCCACACCATGGAACTGAATCAGTTGGTCCTATGGCCTCATGGAAGAACTCACTCAGTGCAAGAATGTGGCTTCTACACCCCTGCGATTCCACCCCTGAGCCAACCAACCAGCAATGCCAATTCCCTCAGCCCCCTGCCTGCCAGATTCCCTTTAACACCCCTAGCCTAGAGCTTCTCAGGAAAAAGGATTTGAGAAATCTCTCCCCCTCCCCGTTTGGCTGCCAAACAACTATTAATAACAAGCTCTCGGCTGCGCCTCTGCCTTCTCAGTGCTCCGGCTCTTGCTCTGTGCGGTGGGCAAAAGAACCTGGCTGAGCGACAGCGCCTGCACCTGCACAGGAGGAGCGCGGACAGCGCGAGTGCGACTGGCTACCGCCACGCTCGGCTCCAACAACAGGAGGCGTCATTTTGCAAACCAGGACGGAAGAACAATGAGAGGGCCCTCCAGAAAACGTGGACGATTTCCTCTGAAGACAGAATAGTCTCCACCAATAGTGCTTAAAAGTATTTTTTATAACTACAAAATAAATATAGAAGAGACTAGTTTCTATTCTAATGCAGACATGTTCAATACTAATTATCTCTAACACCTGTCTAGAGTAGAAACACAATCGTGTTCCCCTGTTGTTAGTAACAATAGAAAGAAAAAGTAACATAATTTTCAGACTGCTCCTTGAGCAGTACCTGCAGCAAGTATGTACTCCTCCTCTGTGATCCAAATGTCCATCACTTTCAAAAAGTCATTCTGACTCATGCCTATAAAGAAGCAGATCCAGAGCTTATGAAATTAGTTCATTGGGTTTCCAAGACAACTTTCTTAATTCTCTGCAAGTAAAACTCACTGGAGCCATAAATGTGGAAATATAGCTGTCTTATCCCAAGGGAAATCAAGGATTTACAGTTATTAACTGTTGGAGCAGGCCGATTCCCCACATGACCAAGCAAAGAGAGCAACTCTTGGTCTAACCCTTCCCCAAGAGGTGGAGCCAGCACAGCTCAGCCTGGGGGAGGGCCTGGCCTGGGCCCAAGAGTCGGGAGCCAGGAGCACCATACCTGCCAGTCCTGAGCCCAGCATCCAAGCACCAGAAGAACACTGAGCTATTTGGCCAATTGTCTTTCTCCAGGGTACACTGAAGGCTTCTGCCCTGATTCTGAAACTTGGAAAGTTTGCTAACTGAAGAATATACATAGAGCCATTTCACTCGTGGGCTTTGTTCTTGAAGTGTGGATGACCACAGTGTAATCTGCATACCAAATTCTCAGTAAATGGTTTTTTATTAATTAGAAAAGAGAGAAAGCCAGGCACAGTGGTACACACCTGTGGTCCCAATTACTCAGGAGGCTGAGGCAGGAGGATTGCTTGAGCCTAGGAGTTTGAGGCCAGCCTGGGAAACATAGCAAGACCCCCACCTCTGAAAAAAAAAAAAAGAAAAAGGAGAAGGAGGAGGAGGAAGGGGAGGGGCAAGGGGAGGAAGAATGGAAAGATTAAAACAAAGTGGCTAAGATAACCCTGAAACTTTTGGCTTCAAATTATTTTTATCTAGGGTAAATTATACTGAAACATGATCTAATGACAGAGGGTCAGATAATTGTTGGTGGGAAATATTGAAGGTGAGTTGTGAATTGATTTGAACCAGCCAGATAATTCATGAAACTATATTAGGATTAGCAATGTTCCCAGCAGATGGCGCAAGCTGCCCTCTGCTGTGATAAGATTCATTCCCCCACCTCACCACCCCTCCCATGTGAGCAATTTAGTATCAGAATATTTCCTCTTCATGTGACAATGGCTCTAACCAGGCAAGGTGATGGGCTAGGAAAGAAATGCTTTGGCAGAATTCCAGGAGAGGCTAATCAGGGAAGACAAAATCTGGAGGCTTCTTAATTTCCTTCTCATATTAAACTATTTAGATGTAGGTATTGACCTTACCAATAAATATTGTTCCGTTCTCATCATTTTAGCTCTGAAAAAGTTAAGCATTCTTCCTCTTCTTCTTCTTCTGCCCCTCCTCCTCCTCTCCTCTCCCCTCCATCCTTTCCTCCTCTCATCCTCCTCTCCTCTCCTCCTCCTCCTCTCCTCTCCTCCTCCTCGTTCCTTGTTGGCGTTCACTCTACTTGCCCAGGCTACCCGAGTGCGTCGCAGTCGCTAGCTCGACAGCCAACCTCAACTCTGGCTCAAACGCATACTCTGCCTCAGCGTCCGAGTCGCTGGACCCCACAGGCCCTTCATCGCCACATTGGCCATTTTTCTGCTTTGGTCGAGCCCGTTCGGTCCCCGCTCGTCACTTGCTCGCGCTGGTCCGAACTACTGACAAGCGATCTCCATCGCTCCGCTCTTCAGCAGTTCCTAGGCACTGTGACCCGGACATGCGGCACAGCCGGTCTCAATCTTCTCTCTATCACAGACAGTTCTAGCATTAAACTCCCTCAAGGACCAGAAACGTACCACAGAACCCAAAACATTACCGTACTCTGCAAATATCTGATTAGCTGCGGGACGACCTACTTACTGCAAAGATCATTCACGCGAAACCCTCTGACTTTAACACAGATCACTCTGCGATCAGGCCAGCCCCGTTCTCTCCTCCTCTGTACGCTACACAGCTACAAACGTGTCTCTCAAGAATTTTGAAGCTAACGGCTATGCTCACTTCTTATGAGCAAGCTGCACTTAAACCTGAAGGCCATTTGCCCCTCTGGCAAGAGGTATCAACACCCCGTTGGGCCAAGGCAGGGAATGTAACTATGTTATGGATGGCATCATCTTCAAAATCGCGGCGAGAAACGTAGACTTTATTAATTAAGCTTCTTAAATATCTGCTGTCATAAGTTTGCAAGAAATAAAGAGTTAGAATGTTCAGGTCAGTGAATAATTTCCTCAATAGCTGCCTGCAACACCTCCTGCCTTCTGTCCAAACACCATTGACATTTTAACTCCCTGCAGTCTGCTTCTTAAATCCAGTCTGCCACTAAACTCTTCACTTCTTAGACACTACTTTCTACAATAGAAAGCTAACGTATACCGACGTCGGGGACTTATCTGCAAGCTCTGCGAAAACCTACAACCAGCGTATCACCAAGACGCACAAACCCACCCCATCGATTCGCTAGCTCTGGCACCATACTTGTGACAAAGACTGTCTCCAGACATATACCCGCAACGAACTCTAGACATCATTCTGTACCAGCAAACCTCTAACTACCAGGTAGCACAAAAAACGGGGGGGCGGTCTTCCTTTTGAAAAGGAAAAAGACCGGCGCGGTGGGCTCACGCTGTAATCTAGCCTCTGGAGGCCCGAGGCGGGTGCGGATTGCTCTTTCAAGGTCAGCAGTCTCTAAAACCAGCCTGAGCGACGACCCCGTCTCTACCATCAAAAATAGAAAGAAATTAATTGGCCACTACATCTATACTACCACTCATAACCCAAAATAGCGGCGCTCCGGTGGCTCGGCTGCCTCATTCCGAGCTACCTCGGGAGGCTGAGCGCGCGGCGGCCGCGACGCCAGACCTTTCGCCGGTTGCTCGTGCTACGCACTGACGCCGCCTCCCTTAGCTGGCAAGACAAGCAGAGCTCTGTCTCAAAAAAACAAAACAAACAAACAAACAGAGAAACTGGTGAGAGATTTGCGCAGACACTTCCACTTCACCAAAGAGGATACCTAAATAGAAAATCTCAATTTCATTAGTAACCAGTTATAAATTAAAACCATAATGAATGTGATGGTTTTAAAATATATCCTCAAATTCTTTGATACTTCTCTCTTCATGAGATGAAGCCTAATTCCCTTCCCCTAGTGGGTGGGCTAGCCTTAGACACGTGCTTTTAGCAGATACAGATGGACTAAAGCAGACGGAAACTGACAGCCTGCAGGGAGTGGGTCAAGCAGACCTATGGAGGGGCCTCGTGCTGGGCCACTGGGCCCTGCCAGGGCTGCACGAGCGAGCCCCTCCCTCCCGGACAATAGCTGGCTGCAACCTCGCAAAAGACCCTGAGCAGATTCTGAGCCTAACTACTCTTCTAAAGAAACTGTGATCCATAGAAACTGTGAGATAATAAAGATTTTAAGCCAAAAAAGTTTGAGAAAATTTATTATGCAGAAATAGATAACATATAATGAAATTTTACTGCACATGCACCAGAATGGCTAAAATTTAAAAGTCTAACATAGTTACGATGTGGGGAATAGGAGCTCTCATTACACTGCCGTTGGGTATGTAATTGGTACAACCATTCTGGAAAACCATGTAGCACAATCTACTAACATTAAATACATAACATACTTATGACACAAGAATCCCATTTCTAGGACCGCACCTATAGAAATGCATACAAATATGCATTCAAGCTCATATGCAAGAATATTCATAGCAGCATTGTATGCAATAGCCCAAACCCCCAAATAACATGAGACTACCAATAACAGGTGGGTAGACATCTGGTGACACGTTCACACATTAGCCTGGTGCTACACCGCTCTGCTACATGTAATAACAAATATGGTTGAGTATCACTAACATAACTTGAGTCAGAGAAGCCAGGCACAAAAGAATTAATACTGAGTGATTCTGTAGTCAAGGTCCAATAAGGAGAGATAAACCACACCAGTAATTCCAATAAGAGTATAAAATAATTACTAGCTACATATCAAGATGTTAACTAGGCCAGGCACACAGTGGCTCTTGCCTGTAATCCACACTTTGGGAGGCCAAGGTGGGAGGATCACTTTGAGGTCAGGAGTTTGAGACCAGCCAGGCAACACAGAGAAACCTCATCTCTACAAAAAGTTTTTAAAAATTAGCCAGGCATGATGGTACATACCTGTAGTCCCAGGTACTACCTGGGAGGCTGAAGCAGGAAGATCACCTGGGCCCAGGAGTTCAGGCTGCAGTGAGCTGTGATTGTGCCCCTGCATTTCAGCCTGGGCGACGGTGACAGAGGAAAACCCTCTCTTAAAAGAAAGAGGAGGGGGCGGTGTTAACTGACTAAAAGCTGAGAGTCATAAAAAAGAATCAGGGAGGTAGCAACAACAGGAGCTACTATCCCCACCCCACCCAGGCCTGGGGAACAAAAAGAAAAAGTTGGGATTACGAAAATGTAGAAGCTTTGGAGGAGGGGCCAGCACCCAGCCCTGACACTGTGGCTGGGGTCTTTGGATGCGCTGATGGCGGTTCTGCAAGTGTTGGCAAAATCACAAATTAGACTCGACTCCAGCTACAGGAAGGAGCTGCACTTGTGAGTAAAGCAGGCTTGGTGGGGTGACATTCAGAGAAAAGGGAGCCAACGAGGAGCCAGCAGGAAGAAGTGAGCCCTCCCTCCTCCTCCTGCTGGCTGGCCCAGTGCCGGAGCCTGGCGGGGCAGCGCTGGCAGAGCCCCCCACACCTCCAGGCGGGGAGGGGTGAGTAGATGACAGCGGATAGCAGTCACAGACCGCAACTGTGTGGTGTTCCAGTGCAGACACGATGGAGGTATGGTGCTCCATCGGGATAATGGTGACCTGGTGACCTGACCAGAGACTCGGAGGGGCAGGGGAGCTTCTGGGGTGTTAGTAATGTTTTATGTGTCAAGCCTGGTGGTGGGCACAGGGCCGGCAGCACCGCCTTCAATTAGCACCCAGCCTTCTGGTTACAAAGGCACACAGAGCCTGGCGGTTTCATTCGGTGTGACCCATCGAGTGCTTGCTGGAATTTTATCCACACTGTACGCTGCGTCTCTTCTTGGAATACTTGCCGGGCTCTGTGTTCTCTCTTGGGATCTCTTCCACCTCCCAAGACTTTGAAAATCGTCTTCTGGTTTCATAATTAATGCCTGATCAGGTAGAGTCTCCTCTCGCACTGTCATACATCAATCACGTGTGCTAGTTGTGTCTTCCCCCCTCTATGATAAACCAGAGGACCAGAAACCCCATTTTATTCTTTTATACCCCCAAATGGCACGGCCCAGGGCTGAACTTAGGTGTTCATAGATGTCTGTTCTCTGATGGTCGCCTTCCAGTGAGCCGGAAGGCCAGTGAGTGAGTCTCATTTGGCGCCAGAGAACACATGAGCCTGTTCCTCTCTCCGTGACTTCCTGTCTCCCCACCTTCTCCCCGTCTCCCCACCTTCTCCCCGTCTCCCCACCTTCTCCCCGTCTCCCCACCTTCTCTCCTCTTCACCTCCTTCCCTTCCTGAGATCTCCCAGCTCCCTCAGTTCAGTGTCTTTCTTGCTCTCTTCTCTTCTTTTACCCTCTTCTATTTCTTTCTCACCCTTTTCTGAAACTTTCTCTTTTCCCAACTATTCTCTACGTTCTTGCCTTTTGCTTTGATAGGGAAAAACCTCCACCCTGGGGCCCCATGGCTGAACTCACTGTTGATTGGATGTTTTTTGAATCCTACTGCTGATTGGATATGTAAAGCTTGTTGCTGATTGGGTGTAAAGCTTGTTGCTGATTGGATGCTTTTTGAATCCCACTGCTGATTGGGTAACTCCTCATGCTCATAGTTGATTGTTTGCTGTAACCCGAAGAAGTGTATACAACTAGAGGAGAACAAGGAAGCGGGGCTCAGAATTTGGTGGCCTGCCCCTCTGAGCCTGCTGGGGAATAAGGGCTGATTCTCCAACCCTCTGTGTGCCGCTTGGTTCTTTCCCTGGTCAGTCGCTGTAACACTTGCTGTACGCTTGCCGGAACAGCCTTTCGTTCTTTCCTCCCCCCCGTGGCTCTCCCCACCTGTCTGTGGTGCTGTTTGACCTCCTCTCTCCACTCTTCCCTGCCCCTCGGTCCCTCTGGGCTGACAGCCTCCCTCTGCCCACCGTGGATGTCGTCCTACCAGCCCCACGCCCACACTGTCCCAGGGATGTCTCCGTCCAGCGCTGCCGCAGCCGGAGGTTTCCGCAGAGTGAGCTGGTTCCCGAATACCTCCAGCGAGCAGGAAATCTGGGCCACGCGGTCACCCGCTGTCGCGGAGCCACCACTGGCCCAGACTGCACTACTGTCCTGTCCAAGGGGCACGTGCCCACTGCTCCGTCACAGTCCTTCCTGGGCCCCTCCTCACTCCTGCTACTCAAGCCCGGCTCTCACGCGCGGACCCCACGGCACGGTGGACCCCAAGAGCCGGTCAGAACGCTGCACTGCCATTGCAGTTCTCTTTGGAGGACACAGGGGACAGCATCTCGCCTGTTGAGACGTGGCCTTCCAAATGGAAGCCCTGCGGGGTGCACAAGGAACTCCAGAGCAGCCTTGAAATCAAGGCCTTCGCTTAAGCCGCTTGCTAAGCCACCTCCCACGCCGGTTGTTTCCTCCAAATGCTGTTCCCCGGGGTCGGGGTCGGGTCGGGGTCGGGTTGGGCTCGGGCTCGGGGGTGGGGTCGGGGTCGGGCTGGAGGTCGGGTCGGGGTCGGGGTGCCTGCGCACCCTGCTCCCTCCTCGCAGCTCTCTTCCTGTTTGGGTCCGTGAATCCCCTCTCCCGGCCCCAGACACCTTGTGCTGTGTTATTTATTTAACTTCAAGGCCAGGGGTGTAGAGAGGAAAGGTACTGGACAAAATAAAACCACATCTTGTTGTGACTCTCATAAGAAAAAAAACCCAACCGCAGGTTAGCTTGTGAGAGAGATTATTCTTTTGGATTTCTTTATTAACAGAGAGAAGGCCAAAAGACGACCCAAGTAAAAGTGTACGCTCTTCCAGCGGAAAAACCTCTCCTTTTCCCTAAAATCCCGTTTATTTCCCTATTATTTCTAAAATGAAGCCGGCTTCGTGCCGCAGCCCGGAACTGCTGTGTTGTTAGGGACCGACCTTCCACAGCCCCACCGGACAGAAAAGCAGAGACATCAAGGATGCAATCACACAAGAGGAGGTTTATTTTCTGGCTAGCCAGGGTCCAAGCCCCAGAGCACCAACGCCAGCCGACTCTCATCACAGGGCAAGGACCCGACCGGGCTTGCAGCGTCGTGCGCGCTTTGAATGCCCACGGTGCGTGCGCTATGCAAGTGGCTCGATCACGCGTGCATCATGCATGACCTTTAACATGCATTGGCTGGCTGGCTAGACTCCACTTACAGGGTGCCAACAATGCAAAGTTGTGTGCAAACAAGGTGAGCAAGCAGACGTGCTTCCAGGCAAGCAAGCAACCGCAGTTTCCAGAAGCCGATGTTCCGGGCTCGTGTCGGCTCAGAGCGTGGCTGGGCCTTCGCAGGTGTGCAATGTGCTCACCCGCTCACCAGGTGTTTTCCCAGTTGTCCTGCCGCGACCCTTGGCCTCGCAGCAGTTCCCCAGCGCAGACGCGCCTGCCCCACGGCCGCTTCTCGTCCTCCCACGGGAGTTTCGCGGGCGCCCTCTTGCGTCTGCGCACGGTCCCCACGCCCTGACCGCCCAGCGCTGCCGGCACTCCCGTAGCCCCCTCCACACCCCTTCGCTCCCTCTCCGCCCCTCACCCTCGCCCCCTCGTCTGCCCCTCTCCGCGCGCTCGGCCGGCCCCTCTCCCCTCTCCGCCCTCTCCGGCTCCCTCCGCCCCGCCTCCACACCCCCTCCGCCTCCTGCGCCCCCCTCTGCCGCGCCCACTGGCGCCCCTCACCCCTCGCCGCCCCCCTGCCGGCCCCTCTCCCCCCTTCCGCCCTGTGCCGCCTCCTCCGCCGCCCTCTCTCGCAACCTCCGCCCCCCTCCACCCCCTCCCCACCGCCTCTCCGCCACGCCCCCCTGCTCCTCCCCCTTGCTCCCCCTCCGTGCTCCCCCTGCTCCCCCCTTGGGCTCCCCCGCCCCACCCCCACCCCTCCACCACCCTGCCGCCCCTCGCACCTCCAGGACTTGCAGGCGGATGCACGCCCTGCTGCCTGCTGGGCCCCTCGAAACCAGAAACCTTCGTCTGCCAGCTGGCCCGCCCCTGTCACTGAGGCACAAGTCTGCGTCGTCTTAACCTGCATGCTGCTTAGAAACAAGTGTTTTTTCTCTGAGAGAAGGTGGGACTAGAAAATACGGTGAGGGAAAGGCGCATATCATTAGCACCCTTTTTACCTTCGAATTTCTTGCCATGATGCAGGATCCTCTTTATTTCACATTGATTGGGAACAAAACGCTTTTTAATCCGGGGCTGGTGCAATAGCGGCCAGTCCGTGGGCAAGTGAGCGCACGTGGTAGACATATGTGCTCTTCTGCGGTTTCAGACACAACCGCGGGGGAGGAGGCAGAGCCTGGCTGCCCTGCCTGCCAGCCTTCCGTTACCCGAGCCTGGAGTCCCCTGGGGACGCCGACTTCAGCGCTCTCCTGCCTTCTCGCCACCCGTGCTGGCCCAGCTGTCCGCTCTCTCCCTACCTCAGCCGCCCAGGTGCTGCAACTGCAGGGTGTGAGCCGCCACACACGCCCAGTGCACTCCCCACTTTCTAATGTTCCCTTATGAACCCAGCAAAGGCTGGCATGTTATTTAGATTTGGTGGAAAACATGATTCATAGCAATTCAAGTTACTCACACTGTTCTGGGCCCCGATCCCTTGCCTTTTAGTTCAAGCGGCCGCGCCTTGCTCTCTGTTAAAAAGCTAACGAAAAAAAAATAAAGATATAGACCATGAGGCCGACGGTATGTCTCCTCTTTTACCTGCCACTCCTAGGCACTAGACACCAGCAAAAATCTAAGCTGTAGTTTTGTATCTGCAGTAGTAATGCCTTACTGTTATTTGGTACCGCTGCTTAACATTTTTGGGGCCATATAGTCATGAAGCGTCATGTGTGACTTAGGATGTTATGAGTATTAAAAGATATCTTATTTGTTAGTTTCCAGTCTCGTAACCCCAGGAAATCTGTGGCTCCTAATAAAGTGGGGTAGTGACATATGAATCTGGAACAACCGATAAGGGACGTAGAAGAGATTTACAAGAGTAGGGAGAAATAACTGTTGGCCCAGTGACAGTCGAGATTAAATAGGTGCATACTCATGTAATCAAAGGTACTAGGCCAGACACAGTGCCTCACACCTGTAACCAACATGTTGGGGGCCTAGGCAGGAGAATCGTTGAGGCCAGGACTTAGAGACCAGCCTAGGCGATGCAGCGAGACCCTGTCTCTACCAAAAACAGTAAAAATTGAGCCGGTGCAGGTGGCTTGCACCCTTATAGTCTTAGCTTACTCTAGGGAGGCTGAGGCAGGAGAATCACTCGAGCCTGGGAGTTCAAGGTACAGCGAGCTATGATGATGCCAGCGCCACTCCAGGCGTATGATGCAAAGAGACGATACGCTCTCCAAAAAAAACCTTCTTTTGTTATCAAATAAACAGTGGGGCAGATCTGAAGTTGGGTGAGCTGAGGAGTATGGGATGTCAGACAAGAAAGAGTGGTAGTTCAGAAAGAGAGGAAACACTTATTGAAAATCTGTTTAAAGCAGGATTGTTGTTGAAAAAGTGACTAACTCGTAAAAAGGATGGCTGAATTAACACACATGTATGAAGCCTCCTTGATATTTACCAAAGTGCCTAAATCTGAAGTCACCCCCAGTGCCCTGTTGCTGTCATCATGGCAGTACTACTTCTGGGCCTTAGGACGGACAAATAAAAATTGGCCTGACATTAACTGTGTTGTCTGTAAAAAAAACAAATACAGGCATATTTCAAGATCCTACTAAGGAGCAACTCCCACAGGCGTACATTGGTAACCAATTCAAACACTGAAAAGAAAAAGCTCTCACTAGTCAAGAGGGTATAAGCTCCACTGTGACCTCAGAGGGATAAACGAATAAGTGCACTGTTAGGAAAGCTATACGAAGTGTTCAGATAACAAGTCAGAAGAATGATATTAGACTAATAACCTAAAATACATACCACATTTGTGTTTTGCTTTGACAACTAAGTCATAGCAGCTGCAAATCATGAATGAACGAGATGACTTCCCAGGCCCAGCAGATGCAGGACTAATGCTGGGCCATCCTCTGGGGGTGGGCTGGGCGAGAGGGAGCAGTGTAATCATGTGAAGCGAAAACATTGAATGGAAACACATCAGCTAAGGCAAAGACAGTCGAGTTGACTAAGCAGTGGCGCCTGCTCCAGCTACGAGCCTCCCAGACCCTGCCCAGTCCCCCTGCCGGCCTCTCCACCAGGCCGCCCAGGCGCCAGAGGCGAGGCCGGGACACACTTCCCACGTTGGGTGAGCATGCTTTAACTCTGGGATTGAAGAAATGAATCAAGGCCCATGTTGTATTGGGGAACTTGTGCTGTTTATTTATATAGTGTAGTAGCAGTTTTAAAATCACTGACGCTGTCACGTATGCGTTAGGAGTTGATAGCATAAGGAGAACCTGATTTGTAGTTTGTTTCTTGTTTTTTCTTGGAGACAGAGTCTCACTCTATTGCCCAGGCTAGAGTGCCGTGGCATCAGCCTAGCTCACAGCAACCTCAAACTCCTGGGCTCAAACGATACTCCTGCCTCAGCCTCCCGAGTAGCTGGGACCACAGGCGCATGCCACATCTGGCTCATTTTTTCTGCTTTTGGTAGAGACCTGGTCTCGCTCTTGCTCAGGCTGGTCTCGAACTACTGACCCCAAGCGATCCTCCATGCCTCAGCTTCCCAGAGTGCTAGGATTATAGGCATGAGCCACCATGCCCGGTCTAATCATTCTTCTATAACAGAGTTTTAGATTAAATCCCTAAGGACAGCAAAGTACCAAAAATTAGGGTATCTGAAAATATTTTGATTAGCTGGGGAGATAATTACTGAAAGACTCATTAAGGAGAAACTCTGAGCTTTAAAAGATAATTGAGATCAGGCAGTGTTTCTCACTCTGCTAGCTACAGATACAGTGTTCTCAAATTTTGAAGCTATAGGCTATGCATTTTTTATGAGCAAGCTGACATTAGAACTGAAGGCATTTGCACCTCTGGGCAAGAGGTAATCAACCCACGTTGGGAAGGCAGGAAATGTAATATGTTATGGATGGAATCATCTTCAAAATCTGGGACAGAAAGTAGAACTTTATTAATTAAGGCTTCTTAAATATCTGCTGTCATAAGTTTGCAAAGAAATAAGAGTTTAGAATGTTCAGGTCAGTGAATAATTTCCTCTAATAGCTGCCTTGCCAACACCTCCTGCCTTCTGTCCCAAACACCCATTGACATTTTAACTCCCTGCAGTCTGCTTCTTAAATCAGTCTGCCACTAAAACTTTACTTTTAGAAGATATTTTAAAATATAAAGTAATATATGTTAATTGCAAGAAATCTGAAAACACTAAAAGGTATAAAAGACAAAAAATTACCCATGATTGAATAGCTCTGGGCAACACATACTTGTGACAAAGAGCTTG